TACCAATTGCCTTCCAAAGTAGAGATGAGCTGGAGAGAGTTCCTAGCGTCCCATCCCTGCCAGTACTGTAGTACTGTTAGACTTTTTCATTGCAACCAGTTGATCAAATGCTATCTAGTTGTGGTTCATTCAACAGATATTTAAGTGCTCACTGTCTCCTGATAGCGTTTTAGAGGCTGGGTATACAGATGGAACAGAACAAATGTAAACACCTGCCTCATGAAGTTGATAAAATGTTAAATGGTGATCATTGCTTAGGAGAGAAGCAAAGGGGGAAGGGCTGTTACAATTTTGGAATAAGTGGCCAGAAAAAAAAATAAAGTGGCCAGAGAAGGTCTTACTGAGATGACATTGGGCTAAAGACCTGGGGAAGGTGAGGAAACAGGCATTGATGATACCTATGGAAAAAGTGTTCCAGGTAAAGGGAACAGCAAACTTACAGGCTTTAAGATAAAAGAATAGGGAATAGCAAGGAAGAGAAGCCAAGTGAACAAGTAGGCAAAGAGGCTAAAAAGGCATTATGTGGCGGGTCACAAGGAGACTTGTAGACCATTGCAAAGATTTTGGCTTTTCCTCGAAGTGAGATGAGAAGCCACTGAGTGAAGTGAGAAGAGTGAGATAGAGCTAACTGCTGTGCTAACAGGGTCACCCCACTCTGTTGGGGTGAACTGAAGGTGGAAAGCATGTAAACTAGTTAGGAGGCTGCTATACCAGGGTGAGCAGTGATGGTGGTGAAGCGTGGTCAGGTTCTGGATCTGTATTGAAGGAAGACCAGAGAGGACTCATGAATGTGGGATATGAGATAAAAAGATTTATAAGGATGCTGCCAGTTTTTTGGTCTGAATAGCCAGAAGAAGGGAGTTGCCATAAACTGAGATGTCTCTTGGTATCCATGTGGGATTGGTTTCAGGACCTGGTGGATACCAAAATCAGGGACAGTCAAGTCTCTGACATAAAATGGCTTGGTATATTTGCATATAACCTATGCGCATTTTCCCATGTATACTTTCTAGCTTACTTATAATATCTAATATTAATACATTGTAAATGCTATGTGAATAGTTGTTATACCATATTATTTTTATTTGTACTATTTTTATTGTTGTTTTTTTTTATTTTAAAAAAATTTGAATTTTTGGGTGGTGCCTGTGGCTCACAAAGTTAGGGCGCTGGTCCCACATGCCAGAGGTGGCGGGTTCAAACCCAGCCCCGGCCAAAAATGGCAAAAAAAAAAAAAAAAAAAATTGAACTTTTTATTTTAAAAAATTCCAAGGGTTGGGTCAATCTGCTCATATGGAGGGTCAATTGTACATTAGTTTCTCTTCCAAAATTAGCTGGGTTGTTCATATTTCTCTGGTCCAATTCTCAAATGCTGTTTTGAAGATAGACCCTTTGCTAAGAATATACCTAGCTTCACTTGTATTCTACAAGTAGGGTTTTCATTGTAAGGGTGTATTTTTGACAACTGGCAATTAAAAGGTAAATTTCTATCTCACACACAGTCAATATATGTTGGTATATTCACTTTATAAGTTAATTTGCTGTTTTCTAATAAAGTTGAAGATCTAGCACTTCCACTCCTGGAGGATACATTAGAGAAATTGTAGCAGGTCTGCATGAATGTTCATAGCAGCGTTATTGAGAAGAGCCTCAAATGGAAACAACTCAGATGTCCATTCAAATGTGGAACGAATACATAAGTAAGAGCATGAATCTGTCAGACATAGGGTAGAGTAAAAGAAACACTGTTCACCACAGAACAGGTCAGTATGATTTTATGTACAAAGTTCAAGCATAGGAAAAAACACTGTGTTATTCAGGGATGCATATTTAAATGGCAAAGTGAAAATCAAGGAAATATATATATATTTTTTAAATTTTGCTTTCAACTAGCTTTCAATTGTCTTAGTTTGAAGTTTTTTGTTTTTTTTTTAATTTTCCTTTTTTTTTTCTTTTCTTCCTTTAGCAATTCACTTGCCCTTAGCCTCCCAAGTAGCTGGGACTACAGGCACCTGTCACAATGCCTGGCTTTTTTGGTAGAGACGAGGTCTCACTCTGGCTCACTCTGGCTCAGAATGGTCTCCAATCTCTGAGCTCAGGTAGTCCACCTGTCTCGGCTTCCCAGAGCGCTGAGATTACAGTGGCCTAAGGAAATGATTATTACAATAATCAGGACTGTGGCCACTTCCAGTGCGGGGGATAAGGCATAGTGATTGAGGAGAGGGGCACATGGCTGGTGGTGGTGGTGGGGCCATTTTTGGACAGGTGGTCATTCTGCCTTACCACTGTTAACTTGTGCCGTGTAGGCACAGCCTGCTTTGTTCATTTCTGGCAGAGGGCGGGAACATTCTCATTGTTACTAGTATACAATATGGGAAGGAGATGGTTTGAAGTTCTACTTTTTCTAGGAGGATTGGGAGTCCTTAGTTATCTTTTTAGGACTCTTTCTTTAAGACCCTGAAAGAGATAATTGTGACTTCAGCTTTTCATTTTGAACAGTATTCTTACAATTCTGTTTCAAGAGCTTTGAAAATGGTACCTTACTCTTACTTTCAGGCATAAAAAGTTAGGTCACCCCCATTAAATCACTGAATTTGTGCCCTGTGTGTTGTCTTTTACTTTTCAAGATGTCACAGATAACCAGAGTTAGCAAAGCATTTACAGTGCGAGCAGAATTCACTGGATCAATACTGAAGATAAACATGGGGAAAAAATTCTTATGTGCAAGTCTATAAATTCTGTTTAAGTTGTACAAATAAAAATGAAACTGAGAACTCAGATTGCTCAGTATAGTTGTCTCTGCATATTTTCACTTAAAGTAATTATATATCTTCCTCTATGTAATTTTGTGAAGAATTAATTTGGATTGAGAGTTTTTAATTGTAATGACAAACGATTCCCTCTGCCCCAACCCTGTATCCTTGGGCCAGCAATTAGACTGAAGAGGAACCTGTACTTTTAGATTAAACCTTGAACCTTTTACTCCCATGAAGTAGTAGGAGAGTCTTTTTGTTTTTGTTTTTTGAAAGAGACCTCATCTCACTGTGTTGCCCAAGCTGCCAGACTGGCCTCATGCTCCTGGGCTTCAGTGTTCCTCCTGCCTCAGTCTCTTCAGTAGCTGGGATTATACAGGCACATGCCACCCTCCTTAGCTGTAGGAGGACAGTTTTATTTGCCCTCATTGATTCAATTCACTTTTTCTCTTCTTGTATGGTATTGAATTTGTGCTAATATAATCTCTTGTTACAAAGGCATTTATTGGAAGAATATTCCCTTTGATATCTGAATTATCTGAAATAACACAAACAGAACTATACGTTTAAGCATTTTTTTCATTTAGATAACCCCCTCAAATATATCCCAATTATAAAAAAAAGTTTTCTCCTTTTTTTAAAAATTAAATCATAGCTGTGTACATTAATGTAATCATGGGGTATAATGTGCTGGTTTTATATACAATTTGAAATGTTTTCATCAAACTAGTTAACACAGCTTTCACAGCATTTTCTTAGTTATTATGTTAAGACATTTATATTCTACACTTAGTATATTTCACATGTACCCTTGTAAGGTGCACTGTAGGTGTGGTCCCACCAATTACCCTCCCTCCACCCATCCTCCCCCCTCCTCTCCCCTCCTTCTGCCCTTTCCCCATGTTCTTGGGCTATAATTGGATTGTAGCTTTCATATGAAAGCTATAAATTGATTTCATAGTAGGGCTGAGTACATTGGATACTTTTTCTTCCATTCTTGAGATACTTTGCTAAGAAGAATATGTTCCAGCTCCATCCATGTAAACATGAAAGGGGTAAAGTCTCCATCTTTAAGGCTGCATAATATTCCATGATGTGCATATAGCACAATTTATTGATCCATTCATGGGTTGATGGGCACTTGGGCTTTTTCCATGACTTAGCAATTACAAATTGGGCTACAATAAACATTCTGGTACAAATAGCTTTGTTATAATGTGATTTTTGGTCTTTTGGATATATACCTCGTAGAAGAATTGTAGGATCAAATGGCAGGTCTATTTTTGGATCCCTAAGTGATCTCCAAACATCTATCCAAAAGGAATGTATTATTTTGCATTCCCACCAGCAGTGTAGAAGTGTTCCCTTTTCTCCGCATCCATGCCAACATCTCTGGTTTTGGGATTTTGTGATGTGGGCTAATCCTACTGGAGTTAGATGATATCTCAAAGTACTTTTGATTTACATTTTTCTGATAATTAAGGATGGAGAGCATTTTTTCATATGTCTATAGGCTGTGTACCTGTCTTCTTCAGAGAAGTTTCTCTTTCTCTTCAGAGAAGTTTCTCTCCTTGCCCACTCTGAGATGGGATTACTTGTTCTTTTCTTGCTAATACGTTTGAGTTCTCTGTGGATTCTGGTTATTAAACCTTTGTCGGAGACATAACCTGTAAATATCTTCTTCCATTCTGAGTGCTGTCTGTGTGCTTTATGTACTGTGTTCTTGGCTTTGCAGAAGCTTTTAAGTTTGATCGGATTCCAGTAATGTATTTTTGGTGTTGCTTCAATTGCCTCAATTTTGGTGTTGCTTCAATTTTATGAGGGGGTCCTCATAAAATATTCACCCAGGCC